GGGCGTCCACCCGCAAATCAGCACATACGATTGCATGGTCGGTGTCCGCGCATATGCTCCAAATCGGGCAACAGTTTTGGACGCAGCGTCTCCGGCGGTACCTGAGCGCTGTGTGATCGATTGGCTTCCATGATTGGTTCGAGGCTGGTGGGCGCCATGTCACCTTCAGCGCGTGTTGTGTCGAAAGTTAGTGCTCACAAGAAATAAACGGGCATCTTCACACAAACGAAGTAAACGCTTACCGTTATCATTACGGGAACCTACACCGTATTGGCCGCCCAGATGCAGCTCATTAGTGGACAGTTTCCCCAACTTGAACGTGCAGGTCTCGACTCAGCACTACAGTATCCGTGCTTTCTCTGTGGCGAAGGAGCTGGTTCAGTTAGCGATAAAAGTCGCCTTTTATCGAGTCCTCGCTACAGTTTGTGGAGACGTAGGCAGCAATGACAAACGGATACGTATTAGCCCCGTGGGACTTCGAAGCTTTGAACGATTCAGCCACTCGGGCCGCACACATCCGACCGCTGATTTGGATCCAAACAACCAGAGCAGCTTCACCCCAGGGACGGTGGCCGAAGCTGCATCGTCCCCAGATAGGCGCAATGAGAATGCACTGCTAGTGTCACCTGAAGGGGATCGCAGAGTGAGAACAGAGCTCGGGTTTTGGAGAGGGTTTCTGATAAGCAGCCGATATCGATCGAGAGTGTCTCTAATGTTCGGGCAAGTGATACCTGTTAACCGATCTATAGCAATGTGCGTACATTCAGGCACGTCAATCTGAGGGAGGGCCGAGGGCTCCAACTAGAGGCTGATGAACTGGGCTTGACCGCTTAGTTACACATGGGCTTGTCGATAAAGCAGAAGTGACTATCCGCTTTTGCATGTGAGCCGAAACTAGAAGATAAACGCCTATCAAAGCATGGTGGAAGAGGGCCCAGAATTAGAGGGTTGAAAACGGAGGGTATCAGTGATGTTGGAACGGGACGATAAGGGGGAAAAGCGTAAAAGGGGGACTAAGAAGATGAGAAGGCTTGAACAGTAGTATCCGGACCCCTATCTACTCTGCTCGATGCAATAGATAGAGCGCCGTTAATTATTCTCTGCGGCGGCCAGAGAATCAAAAAATTGTTGAGGCAAAATACTCGCCGTAGATGAAAGTTATTGTAGCCTTTGGTGGGATAACTTGACCGTGTAAGCGCTGTGTACAGCTAACTACCAGGGAAGATAGAGTTGCGTGCTGTGCAGTTTTGTTCTTTCCTTATGCCTCAACTATCGGAAGTGCTTCTTGCCAGGATGCGCCAGATTGGGCACAGGTTGATGTTTTCAGTTGTCTATGGAACTATTCTACCATCCTGTTAGCTGTATTCTCCTACGCCATTGATCGGTTGTGCTGTCAACATGGTACGTTGAGCAAACTGCTAAAGAACTCGTCGAGGTGTTCTCATCACCATCAATACACATTAGCCGAGGGTGAGAAACACACCTCACTTGATGTGCCGCTATAAAACATTGAGCAATGTAAACTTAACAGCTACACAAAGTAACGTAATGCTAATATCACATTTGTGATCGTTGTTGGAGGAGGAAGCTAAAGCGAAGGAGAGGGACGAAGCGGCTCACAACACAAACGCCATGGAAGTCGACTCTTCGCCATATCCGCTAGTTTATTCAACCAAACGTGTTCATCATTCTTCGGTCCCTAGCCAAGCAGTCAGAAAATACCAGCCGACCTCAACTTCGAGGTCTGATCTTAAAAAGATGGTGGCTACTCCAGAGCAAGCAAATTGAGGTACCCAGCGTTCTTAGAAAGCGCGTGTGACTGTCTTAAATGATCAGTTGACAACTGGGGTCGCTTCTGGCGAACGTGTATTTTCATGGACAAGGATGAGGATGGACACATAATCTTTGCTTGGTGTGCCAGTTGCTCCGTAACGCGCTACCGTCTCATAAGCTACACCTTTTCCTTTCCCTAGCTAGCAAATACATCAGTATTTCAGCTGTGATTACATGCAACCTTTTGCTATACGAAATAAAATCTCCCCTGCATCTATCAGTTTTTTAGAACCGGAATCTGGGCTGCCACGAAATACGTAAAGCAAATAACGCATACTTCACAGTGCTCTCAGGCTGCAGTATCTGTCTGAATCTAGCAGCCTCGCGTTTGCGTTCCTTGAAGGATTACGAATTGACCGCACGTCTATGCATTTAAGATGTCGGAGCTACCCGTGTATTCTGATTAAACGCCGTTAGATCGGAAGCTCCCTCTTCATAGTCAAGTGATAACCCACGGCTATCGACATATAGCCACGGTTTACCAACATGAAAATTGCAGCACTGAACCATGAACAAAGTTGTACAATTAAATGTTGCTGGGATATATCGATCTGTAACACACGCACCACAACCATGGATAGAAGAAGAGGGATGGCCAAGCGATGACTTGGTCAAGAGGAATGAAGTCCCTCACTTCCAGTTTGGCGTCAGTTGGTGTTTCCCGATTGCTGGGCTTAGGTCCAAAGGACTATGAACACTTTTGATTGGATACACTAGCTGATATGGTAAAGAGCCGACCTCAATGGCGTTTGTGTTATGAGTCGCTTTGTCCCTTTCCTCCCCTTTGGCTTCCCCCTCTGACAACAATCTCAACCCAATGCATAATGTGATTTTAGCCTGTTACTTTTTTTATAGCTTTTTGCTCCTTAATATTTGCTCTTATCTTTCTTTTGTATTGCGGCACATTAGCCGCGGCGTGTTTTTCTTCTTCAGCTAATGTGTATTGATTGATTGGACTTCTCTTCGTGTCTTCTTCCGCTTACTCTTTGTTGGCCGCTTATCCGCGCTGTATCAGTATCCTGTGCAGCTGACGTCCTTGGTTGGTAGCTTCACCCCTATTTTTTCACTCCATTAACCAACCATTATGCACTTCGTATTTTTCTGGCTCCCATTGTTCACTTGAACGACTTGTTTTTCCTGCATGCATTGCACGCTATTCACCGTATTTGTCGAAATCTTAGTACTTTCGGGTGCCCTTCTTCAACAATCAACCGATTTTCCCATGATTTCTCCTTGATATATTCATTTATTTTGCCCACAGCATAGTTTCAATTGGCTTTATATACCTTATATCTTATGCGTCTCTTACTAGATAGGGATATGTCCTTTCGGTTCCGTCTATGAGGTCTTGCTCCCCTAACTGTGAGATAGCAGCCACTTCCTAAATCTCCGAGCACACAGCTAATAGATTTTGAGAACATCACTACTCCACCGTTTTATTTCCCATGAGTCTTACCAACGATGTGCATTTCTTGCTACGCGACCATGCTGTCCTCCAAATATTACTAGTAACTGGCTTAGCCATCTCATTAACTCTTACGCTACTCGTGACGAAGCTATTAGATTACTTTAATGGCTGTATAGTGTTTATGAACTGACAACGGACTCAAGGTTAAGCTTATTAGGATTACAAATGGTTTCATGAGAACACCATTTCACCAACCTTCCATCCAAGTTGTGTACCGCATCAAAGAACTAAATGATATGAGATCCGAGAATTTGTGTTATAATACTGGATAAGGTACGAAATTTGTCATCACAAATAGGTCTGATTACATGAGCAAGATGAATCGGATTTCAAGTGATAACTTCAAGTTTTGTGACCGATGTAACCCAGATTTGAAAAATTGGTGACTAAAAAATTGAAAATATTGCTGCACCATGGAATACTAACGGAAACAGTGTGCAATACAAATGGAAGTTGCGTGTTGCCCGCCCGAAAGCACTGTACATCGCGACGTGTTTCCACTTTAATTCTTCTCATCGGGTGGAGACACCAGGCCTGGAACTCTAGGCCATTGGGATGTCAGTTGTGACCTTTAGCCACCGGGTCACGACGGATAACGCTTGGCACAACGGTTACTGACTCATTGGAGGGCTATTTTGAATGTGGATGAATTACAGTCGTCTCGATACGACAATCTATCTATCTATCTATCTATCTATCTATCTATCTAAAAACTACTTGAATGGGACCATTACGAATACTTTCAGTAGCTTCACGCCGGTCCAGTCCAAAGACTGCCTCGTCAAAGCTCTGTTCCAACATTCTCGTAGAATATGCACCTCCGAATGTTTTGAGTCTGAATTCCAATTAATTACACAGACCCCGCGGTAAAGTGACCTTTCAACGGTCGCCCGATGGCAGATAACAAACAAAAGCTTCCTACCTTGTTAAACATACCCACTCATCTCCAGTTTCTTTTCAAAGGGACTATCGTGACAAATCTAGTTGCGCGACGTGTATCCGCAACAACTCCGTGGACATTCACTGCTGCCAAATGTTTGTCCTTTTTGCTCAAACTTACCCAACTGATCTCCGCCATGACACATTGCATTTGCCACTTTGTCTGTCATTGCAGAAGCAGTTACATCGGCAGAACAATCGGCATCTGTGTAAGTGAATCGGCAAACCTATTCCGAAATGGATTGCCTCTACTATGACAAAGCAAACACTAGATAGGTGTCAAGCTCAAAATTGTCAGTCTCATCGATTGCTAAGCACCTACTCAGTACAGGCCGCACGGTTGACTCTGACTCGGCGTTTGCGATTACCTACGGTAACATACGCGCCAAGATACTCACACGTGCTGAGGCTTTGGCTATTAATTCCAATTGTCTGGACCTTGAATGTGACAGTACAAGCGTCCTTGGAGCTCGTGGCACTCGTTTTAAACTTGTACTTTTTTGCGGTCCGTGCCTTTATGCCTCTTCCTTTCTGACAGCATTCAACTCATTAATTTTTCTTTCAGTGATCGTTGCGTGTGTTGCTAGTTTACACGTGATCAGTTAGCACGAGATGATATAACCTTGCAGCACAATGTATTGCTTAGAAGCAAATTTAGCAACGCTCGTTGATAATCTATCATTCATACAACTTTTACTTTATTTTGATCACGTTAAATCCCCACTTCGGTTCTCCCACTTATTTCAGGCACCACAGATTTATGCTGTACGTCAGTTTTCTGGCTCTGCATCTCTCTTTACTACCTTTGTGGCCCAATGTGGTCCGTTCAACCAATGTGACCGATGATGGTTTGGCATTTCTCCCCCTCTGTATCGATCGACATAGTTCTCGCCACCGCGTGTGTGACCCCCATAATCTGCTTTCTGAACAAAGCCGTGAGTAACGTGTTGAACTTGTACCAACTCTGAGCACGTACATGCTGGTCATCTAGCGGTTGTTAGTGTGATGGCGATTATTATTACTATCATCCTTGCATAATCCCTGTACTGCTGAGTCACCTTTGTCCGACCATTCGTCAACCCCTTGCCTCCGCAAGCGAACAACCCATCCAATGTATCTATCTACTAAAGGTTGATTGCTGGACGAGTACCTAGGGTCTTAGCAGCGATGGACGTCACTGGAGGCTAGTAGAGTGTTTCGTTGTAATGGTGAAGCCCTTCTCGATGCATATTCGTTGCGATCCGCAGCATTCGCGTGACCCATAGTCTCTAGGTTAAACATGCCTATTCACCACATGTATATGTATATGTATATATATATATATATATATATATATATATATATATCACAGTTTCAGCCCACTTTACATCCGTTCCAACCCAATATATTGATCGTCTCCACTTATTTATCCAAAATAACGCGCCGATTCTTCTGGTTTTCCGGTGTGGTGTTTGCTTACTGCAGTCTATTTTCTCACTTACCTCTCACACTCAGTAAATGAATTCAGCGCTTTTGTTGCCGCTGCCCAGATACTCTGACCAGCTAATTTACCTGGCAGTTCGTGCTTTTTTTTGTTTTTCCTCCCATGTCTGTGCTTTAATGGCAACCTTTTGCCTCACACTTCTCATAAAGTAAATGTTCTCTGCTGCCGAGTTTTTTCATTGCTGCTATCTTCTGTCCTTCCGTAATTCCCTACGTCCTGACCGACCTTTTTGATCATTCTCCAATAGTAACGGTGACAATCGAGACTTTCACTTTTAATGAGTCTTATTGGGCTTTTATGGTAGCTACACTCACTCAGTTATTCATCCCGCCTTCAGGAAGGTGTTAATTGGCTGCTTCGTTCTCATGAAACTCGTCGGCAACCTTGCTTGCTTCTGCTAAGCGAGAAGAGAGAGCTTGTGACCTCCCTTTTTCTCTTCGATGATTAGGTACTTGAGATGGCAATAGCCAATCTGATCAGATAACTATCGGGTACATAGTGCAATTTGTCCCACACTGTCATGTACGCTTTTTACGTGCAAAATACATTTTAAACTCTGCGAGATATAACTACGTCCACTTGCACCGCCAACTATCCGACAGCACTAACTCTGGCAATTAATGATTCCTGGGGATTGTTTTAAATGGTTTTGGATTAGGTTCGTAGAAAGTAGAAGTCACGATTAAAACTCACACACAATAATGTGCCTCGACGGGGAATCGAACCCCGGCTCAACGAATTTCCGGTCCGCTGCTCTACCACTGAGCTACCGAGAGCTAACGATTAGTTGCGCAAGTTTTAATACATGATTTCTGCTTGGTGTGCGACGTATTGCCAATGAGCTCACAGTACCTGTCCTTGTGTTGCAGATTGGCTCACTCACCCGTCACTTCCCACTGGGCCGAAGTATCTGTCCTTCTAATGTCCAAAGGGCGATGGTAGATTAATTGTAGATTTTTTTGTGACTAGGGTAAAGTTTTGGATTACTTTCAAACATTTTTCGTCACAGCTACACTCACTCAACGACTATTACAGTTATACTGGATAATTATCTAATTTGCGTCCTTCTGACCGAAACTGCCGTTCTGGTACTTTGTTAGTTCATTCTTCCACTACGCTACATTATCGAAGTTACATGAGCCTCTTAACAACTGAAGCGTGCTGCCAGCATTGCTTCAAATCCTGATCGGTCCTCTTCGCCCACCTGTTAGTCGAAGAAACCCTTGTACTAGTGTGTTCATCGATAAATGATAATCCGTTACTTCTTGTCCGCTCCCTTGCAATGATTCACCGATTAGTCTCCATTGTAATACTATCGCTATCCCCACGGTCAAAAATCGTATTCGCAGTATGCAGGTACGTCGTATTGCCTATTCGCTTTCACACAACCACCACCAGCACCACTCGCGAGTGGGCTAGTGATAATGCAAAGCTACCCGCACAAACGCAGAATTGAATCAGTATCCGGTTGGATTACAAGGCAGACGCTTTATGCTAATCGGCCACTGGCTGACTCCCCATAGTCACATGAACCTGTGCTCCTCAAACGCCCAGACCCCCGAATCACCACGCTCATTAGGGTGACAGATGTACCGTGATAAGCTCCATCGTTGACATATGAGTTAAATGCATTTTACGGTACGCTTCGCATACAGTACACCACCCCCATCTGTGGCTCTTAGAAATGTGCTTATCTTGCTTTTTTGAGTACGACTTGCGCCTCCGCCTATGATGACCCTATCACTAATTTTGATCACAATTCTCCCTCTCGCCCTTACCACCATTTAACATGCATTTTTACTTCTTTTTACCCTGTCCTTTTGGTTCCTTTAGGTCATCTGTTGCAACTCGCTCTAGTCGCCGGTATGTCACGCACTGTGTGTTTTTGCGGCGCGCCCTGCAGCGCGGATACCACATTATCCTCCCGCAGATTAGTCATAGGTGCCCTGTTCCTAAAGGAGCTCCCCACGTGAGTGACATTTCCTGCTGCCATTGATCATATTACGTTAATGGTACTGTGTATGTCATCAGGAATCCGGCCCAACTCCTATCTGTGGCAAATCATACAGGCATACACTGCCTCAGGCGTTTGGCTTGCAACCTCTTATTCGAGTCCCCGCTCCCGCACAATTTTTTTTTGGAGGGAGGGGTTTCAGTCCACGTGCAACCGTTTCCAACTGCCTGGCAGCAAGCCATCATCGCAAAATTCTGGTCTACTGTTGATGCTTCACTATGAAACGTGTACACTTGGCAATTTCTTATGTGAACATAACTGAATAGACTGTGCTTTTTGCGGGAAATGTCAACCCGCTGGTAGCCGACCGTTACTCTATTCCCATGACATATGCACTGACTTAAACTTTGAATGACTTCGAGAAGGTAAGTAAGAGTATATTTCTCGACTGGGTTAGAAGCTGATGCTGCGAAGGCCCAGATCACTAAGTACAGGATTTTTATGTTCACGTGTGATTAATATAATAAATAATTTTTTATCCCCCATGATTCCGAGGATCAAGCAGGGTTAGTTACAGGAAATTTTTGCCTAGTTAACCTGTCAAATCATGTACTCAGATTATGATTGTTCAGAGTCGGATCGGAATTCTATGTGAAGATGTGCCGTCAAATATTCTCGTGAGACGATTGGCATGCGTGACTGTCCCAGCATTCCACTGGTGCACGAGCTAACTCCATCGATCAGTTTCAGTGCACTTGGGAAGTGCAATTCTTAGTGCCTTCACGTAAGGAAACAGATTTTGTAAATTGTTATCCGCGTAAATATGTAAAAATAGAACATTTGAGTAAAGCGGTCTAGAAGATGACCCAATTCGATAGCGCTGTGTGAAATATGGAAAATGCTCCTTAAATATTCCTTTATTAGGTAACCTTGTACTCTCGGTAGTATGGAGCTGCACTAAGTTTTCCTGTGTTTGAAATAGCCTAGCATCGTCAACCATCACACCACACGTTAGCTGAAGATGCGGGACTCTTCGGCTATTAGGCCGTAATAGAATGCAGCAATATATTTGCAAACATAAAATAATAACAGTATAAGCAATATGCTTTTTATTATAACATATCGACACTGAGCTCGTGGTTGGAAGGGGTTAAACGGGATGGGACGGGATAAAGAAATTCACAACGCAGATGTCACTGAGATAGGCTGCTAGCCATTTCAACAAATGTATCCAACTAAAGGTGTTCATCGTTCTTCGGACCCCGGCAAGAAGTCTAGAGGCTCCGACAGAGACGCATTTTGAACAGATGGCCTTCATTCCTCTTAACCAAGTCGTCGGTTGGGCTCATTTCTCCCATACTCCGGTCACATAAACAACACAAGTCGCAGAGCTCGGTCTGCTGGCATGCGTAACACAGAGGCTGGTGTTTCAAATAATTGGGATGTGCGAAATAAAGGCCCTCACTTCGAAGTTGGCATCGGTCGGAGTCTCTCGGCTACCTATTTGGGGTCCGAAAAACCATGAACTATAATCCATCATTGGGTTTACTTTCTACCAGCTACAACTATGAACAAGTTTGGCTGGATAGACTTGTTCACATGGCAAGGAGCTGACCTCAGTGGCGTTTCTGTTGTGTCGCCACTGACGCCTTCACCTCACGACCGCTAGGAGAAGTCCAAAGTCGAGTCGGAAAGAGAATTGTATACATGAAATCTCATTTCCTTATATGGTTTTGAAGGCAAAATGAATGGAAGCTACTTACACTTGAGCTAACCAAGAGAAGGAAAACGTCGAATGCAACGGGCGAATAAGCAACCGTGTACTCAAGAGCGAATCGCATATGACCTTAGAAATAGCATCCTGGGACCCCAAGCGCAAAGCGAACATCAATTTACAGTGACGGGCACTGGCTAATCAGAATAATGAAATCTAGCGTTTAAACAAATGTCACGAAACAAACGAGAATAAGAAGTGCAGACGCAAAAATTAAAAACTGGCACAATGATTGTTTGACAATTAAATATTCCTTTAGCATAACCAAGTGGCAAATGATGCGGAGAAAAGCCAATGGAAGGTGTTCTTGCAAATGACACTGCTAAAGATGACACGGAGATGAGCGTCCATTAACAATGACGTGTGTGTACCAATCGGGCTAACACAGTGGAGCGTTTAAACAACAGTTCAGAAGTGGCAAATAGGCAGAATAAAGAATGGCTATTAAGCTCGTTCACAAAGCTCGTTCACAAAAATTGAATGTCAAATAGCAGTTCTCCTAACAGTGAATTTCTTTGTTCCCCCCTTCCGACCACGATTTCATTTACTAGGCATAATGTAACTTTTTTCGGCACAACAGCCTGTTGTTAACTCTCCGGAATGATGTCCATCCGTTGCAGGTGACTCAGCCTCTGTTACATGTTCCCTTTTTCTTTTGTATCGCGGAACAATAGCCGAGGTGTTTTCCACCCATAGCTAACCATATAATGATGATGATGTTGATGATGATGATGACAACGTTGGCGCTCTACCTGAATGGAGCACCTTCCCGGAGGTCGCCGGTTCGAATCCACGTAGGTGCGGGTGACCTCACCGTATACTCAGCCCACGAACAACAGATAATGGTGGTGTGGCAGCGAAGCGTTTATATCGTGTGTCATCGTATTGCTGATTCCCTTGACCGGTCCGCATGTATCCGACATTTGAAAGGCGCAAATCGGTCACACAATGAGTTTATTCCATTCCTTACAGCTGACCAACCTGCTTCAACAGATGCGGACTGCGATAGAGACCAATCCATTTGGCTCGCTGCTCGAGTCAGGCTGTCGAATTTCTTTTTCCAGCATTTATCATCTGGAACTAGTGCATGGGAATACTGCGGTGGTAGCTTCGTGTTGGCTATAAGCACTGAGTGGTCACTTGCCGCGAAGGGTTCCAGGAACGTCATGCACTTTGTTCGCCGATTGTAAATATCATGTGTAAGCACGACGGAGTTTGGCGGCGTGTTATGCACGTCGATTGGCACATATGTTCTGCTCTTGTTTCAAGTACGATTTTAACGTACTTTACTTCAGCCTCACAGTATCCACACTTGATGTGCATTTCAGGCCAGCGTATTTAAGGGTAATTGAAATCAATCATATAAGTGGAAAATGGAGGCGACGGATGTGATTTCCGAGATGCGGCAGTCAATCAAAACGGCTCAGGGGACTGCGGTAAGCTGCACCCACAAGCATCTTACCGCGGCACCACGGCTGTTCACACAGGCCATGGTCGCTTCGGTAGATACTCACAAGCCTTCAGGAGAAGACCGAGTGTAGAGCAAAACACCACCTCAGGCATTCTGGTATGTATGTTAGATAGCGACGTATCGAAGTGAAAACTTGCAATTAAGAGCAAAATATAGACATGGGTTAGCTTAAAGTCGCATTATAAATGGTGTAAGTCCCAAACAGCTATTGTGCCATGGAGACAGAACGTTAAGCGAAGGAAAGTCACAAATCGCCGTGGTTCTTATTGTCACATTATCAATCAACTAGATAGGTAGGAATACAGTCGGGATCGAGCTTAATCTGATAGCTAGCAATCTATACATAAATATGATTTTATTCTCAACTGTGTGAGGTACTCCCTTAAAGGCGTGATCATAGAGGTCCAACAGTGTAGATCATTGGCTGATCAGCACAATTCTAGTGCTGCTCGGTTATTGACCATTGAAAGCACACGGTCGGCGGTAAACAGTAACAGGATGTATGATGTACGGTCCAATATGGGACAAAAGCAGTCGATGTATCCGTTACAAGGCGATAGAGCAAAGCCCAAATAAATATCTGTGACCAGGCCATGATAAAGTTGAGCGCGTTTTGCAATTATTCCGAATTCGATTCACCCTAATCTGTCGGTATCCCATAAAGTGGAACAACACAGTTGCTTGGCGTTTTTGGATATACTCATTAGGAGACGAGCTAAAAATAGTTTGCAGCGCACTGTTCACCGCAAATCGATTTGGAGTGAACAGTACCTTCATTATTCAATCTTCGCCCCGGTCGCGTACAAACGCGGCTTAGTGAAAACTCTCTTCTACCGGGCTAGACGTATTTACAACCCCGAAACGTTCAAAGCCGAAGAAAAAATTCTATGCAAGACGTTAATTTCTAATAGATATCCTGAGAAATCTATTCAAGTACGCTGCAGACCTCCCAGCGGGAAAACACCGGTGCTGACGACTGAGAAAAAGGATGTTTATTTCTTCTTGCCGTTCAAGGGGGACCATGTGGCGAATGATATTGGACGCAAGCTCCGGTCCACCCTAACGCGCACGTACACGACAATACAGTTGCGACACATACCACGCGAAGACTTGTTTTTCATAACCGTCAGAGCATCTCGTCGGGTAGTTCTGCCTCTCACGTAGTTTATCTGCGGTTGCGGTGACATTTACATAGTCAGAACAAGCCGTCAGTTGACTCAGAGGGTAGCTGAACATTTGCCGAAGTGGTTGGGACCAGTGATTACGCAACAAAATGGGACGGATCTGAGAATTAATCGGAGCCCGACATCGTCTATCAGCGATCACCTCATGGCAACTCGTCATCACTTGAACCCTGAGGCAGCGTTTAAAGTATTATTACATAACAGAAACCCGATAATGCTGGCAATTAGTGAAGCGTTGTTAATTAAGGCTCATCAACCTGTGCTATGTGCACAGAAACTCTTGATGCAATCAATTCGGTTGCCATGGTCTTAACTGTGACATTTTGATTGGTGTTGTTTATTATCCATGTATATAATCGTTTGTGTGTTTCTGTTCGTATTGTGTATGCGACTGAAGAGAACAATCGAAATTTTGACATATCGCAACCTCTGTCTTCTCTCTGCCTTGACGAAATGGCCGAAGGGGACCAGGTGTATTAATTTTACAAGTGAAAAAACCAGTTCACTTGGGAACTGCAAGCTGTGTCCCGATGTGTGCCGCCTATTTATGTTCTCGTGGCCGAATGACGTGCGCACTCAGGTTAGTGTGA